CGAGTATATTAAAATGATTGAATTAATATAACACCGGCGGACCCGCACACAATTCAATTCTTATGAAACATAGGCATAACTACCTACGGAATTATTAAGTCCGAAAATTCTGTTTTTCGTCCTTTTTTTCGGTAGACATTTCTAGGAGTAATAATATGTAATATACCTACGCACTATGAATCCGCAATTGATTTCTCGGGGAAATGAAAGCACCTTCTACATCGTCTGGCCATCGAAATCATATAGGCACAGACGTATTAAATAATAATAATTCGTGAATGTTGTCACGATTGGGGTCCGCGGAATGACTGTTTATAGAGAAAAAAATGTGGTGACGACGCGGTGTTTGGGTATATACAGCTGCATAATATATAAAGAGATGCGTAACAAGACAAACAAACTTTCTAAAAACGTCAAGACCATGTGAAAAAAAAAATTGTTCGTGTAAGTTTCAAACCGAAAACTTAATTAAATGTAAATTATGCTGTGCGTGCAATTAAATTATATCTAATGTTTATAAAATACTATACAAATATTATTATATTATGGTTGTTGGCTTATAGTACATAATATGTAGGTACAATATACGTGTGGTCATGTAAGACAGTATTTTTTTATAGTCCCGAACAGTCGATGCGTATAATATCATAATGTGTACCTGCCGGCCAGTTTAATAACAATAATTACTATAGGGGGCACTGGTAATAAAAACAATGATTTGTTTTATCTAATATGCTAATATACCTACATTGTACCTAGGCACTTGTATTATATTTACCGATTATACATTTTATTAGCCATAATATCGTCCGCTATACACATAGGAATTAGGAAGTAGGTATGTTATAGGTACTTATATGCTTATTGCTGCATCAGTTATATTAGTAAATCAATAATAGTAAAGAATAATCAATTATTGTTTAGGACGATCAATGATATTCTGTGACCTATATTTCATCAAACACTGGCTGAACTTCAATTTATCCCATCAATATATTACAGGAGCAGATATTCAATAGGTGCTATGAAGCACACAAGTAACAAATAGTAAAATAACGATTTGTGTTAAAAGCTAAATAAAATCTTCTGAAAATAAAACTTCTATAATTAGTGGTGCATTAAACTTAGAATAAAAAATATTTGATTATTTTAATCTAATTCCATAACCAATAATAGACGATAAGAACTCAAGTCCATCACGAAGATTTGACCATTTGGAGTGACATCAGTCGATCAGCTGAACAGCAGTCATGAGATTCAAGTAATTAAATTTTTTTAAAAATAAAAAAACTTGGCTACTTTTGTCCTCATAGAATAATATTTATCCTAATAGTCATTATTCTTATAGTCTAGTATTGACTTTCTCTACTACTCAATTAATAGTCCTGGATTATGTTGCACCAGATAAATAAATTATAATATTAAAATTCACATTTGTTATAATTAATGATTTTTTTTTGGAAAAGAGTGACAATTGAATATTTTTAAATATTTTTTTTTTTGAAATCCACATTTACTTCTCCGGACCGAGTGCAAAGCTAAAATAGTTAAATATATTATACACTTTATCTGCACGTGTAACCGGTCGATCGAGAAGTGAACATTTCATGAATAATAAATTAATAAATGTCAAGTACGTTCCTGTTTCATCCGCAAACGTCCTAACAAAATTTAAAACTTTACCATCCCATAATAGCACGCTAGAATTTACTTTTTTAGATATTTAAATGAAACATAAATAATTGAATAATCAAACGCATTCAAAGATCATTAGCTAGGTATTATTTGCTAATAATTTCTCTGATTTTATGACATCAGTTGTATATTAATTTATAAATTTTAAGTTTACTTTCTAGTTTTTTTTTCAGATTAGCAATGTATAAAATTTAATTTATCAAGTTTAAAATAAAAAAATGTTCGACGTATAAAATAAAAAAAAGTTAAATTTTTCTACTGAAACAATATAGGAATATTTAAACTTTATAGGTTTATCGGTTTCCTTGTTTCCTATACTTTTAGGAGATACAGCGTATTTTGTTTTAAATGTATACGCACACATATTTCTTCGTTTTCTAAAGAATAAAAAGCTAACCCTTAGTCCTTAGTAATAATGAACACCTGCAGCTATTTGGCTTGAGAAAAATACATATTTCCCATATTTCAAACAGGTATTACCGGGAAAAAGATGCAAGTACAAATTTTTTTTCTAAACTTTCTTAGTATTGTGGCTACGTTTTCGTTTTCAGCGGTTAACCTATACCTAGGGTACTCTGTGTAGTACATGTAATACCCTGATGGACTTTAAATATTATTAAGGCAGCCAACCTAACATAATCCTCATAATTAAAATAAAAAATTAATGTATCGCATGACATTATCCGATAATATTTTCTTTCCCTATAATTGTGGTATTAGTCGGGCGATATAACAAAACTGTTGTTCTGCAACTGTTAACTCAGGGCCTAACTTAACGCTCATGAATAATAATAAAATATACCTATTTTTACTAAAATAACTCAATTGAAGCTTAAATAATATATTATTATAATATTCGACAGGTAGGTAAGTACTTCTTAAAAGGATGTTACTTTGATATTTCATATTATCGTACCTATTTCTACCTAGTATTTATAGGTACAGAGCATATTCTGCAAACAAAAAAATCTTCAAACGCACACAAATATTCACGCAATTCTTGCTTTTGCAATGTTCGTCAGTTAATATTTAATAAATATTTAATCAATTTACATTAACAAGTATAAGGTTTAATCAATTATATATATCACGATTTTGTAAATTATATTTATACATTTTCTGTAGTTTCTAAATTTTAATTTCTCGGACAATTAGTGAGTAAGTACCTGCTTCTTCTGGGTTTGATAAAAAAAAAAAAAAAATAATAAAAATAGGCACTTACAGCCGTTAGCTATGTTTTCAAGCAATAACTACGAATAGTGTAAAAAACTTGTCGGTTAAAATATCAAATCAATACCATGAAATGGTTTTTTTCCTAGAGGGTCTCGAAAACACGATGTTGTATCACACGTGGGTGGCGTGCAGCGTAACGGTATAACACTATTAAATAGGCACTTTGTTATTGTGATGTCGTTCTACGATATTGTATGATAGGTATCTAATATACGCCGTACCATATTGTTGCTGTATTATATCATATTATTATAACGAATAATGCGTTTCCGGGATAATACTCGTGATATTGTATTATTGTAATACGACGTCGCGTCAGTAGTCGCCGCCGCCTCGCGCACGCGCTGACCGACGACGAAGACGGTGAAATCGCATAACCATATAATAATAATAATAATAATAATAAATTCTTATTATTTATTAAAATACCAGCTGGTTGTGTTAGTATACACTGGGTTTGCGGTTAAAACGCGTCACGCGTGCGTGTTGAGACTCGTCGTCAGTAAATACTCAGTTGTATACAGGGTGATATTTTTATGGCACAACGTTCGATGCACCGAGGAGCGAATAGGCAGAGTTTAGAATTTGGCAGGGTCTTTGGTAACTGAGTTTAGTATCATCTTATAGGATTAGCTACAATGATTTGAAGAAAACAAATTTTTTTACACTATATTATGCGTATTTTAAAAATACATAATTGCAAAAAATTTAAATATCATATAATAATATTATATCAGCTATCTTATTAATTCAATTATTATTATACGAATGTTTATAAAATGTTATTATAATTTAGGTACAATGAAAAAAATCCATAAACTATACGTTACGGTTAGGTTATCATATAATAAACTTATTACAATTATTATTGATTATGCCTGATAAATAAATCCGCCTCTTCTTTTAGTTACTGAAAATGTTAAAAATATTTCTTCATGACAAAGCCGGTTTCTATTGAAATAATCTTTGGAATGTTTAAATTTGCGTGTTGCTCGAGTTATTTCCAAGACGCTGACCGATGAGTATAGTAAACACAATATTTCATAAAAATATATATTTTAATTTTTTCCTAATCGTACTGTTTCATAGTATGTATTTACTATTTTTTTAAACTACTTTATTTTAATTTATTTCTGAAATAATGTTGAGACCCTTTCCCCTGTTTATTCATAAATCCTTAAACTATTAACTTAACTCACCATCATCCTAACCTAACCCAGCATTCTCACCATGTCCCAATATTGATACCCTGTTTTTATTACCGCGTCCTGTGATCAACAATATAATTACTTTACCCACATAATAAGCTATTTCAATATAATATTAGTGATTTATTATATTGGTTGGCAAGAGGGTGATAACCAAAATAAATATAATTTAAAATTGAACTTCATGATCGTAGAGAATTCAACATTTTTTTATTTGTGTACAACATTATTTTTATTTTTCACTTGTTCTAAGAATTCAAAATTTAAAAAAAGTTTTAATATCAAACTTAAAATTAAGTTTTCAAAGTCTTAAATAATTACTAAATCATGAGAAATGACTGTAGGATTAACAGTTTATGCTGATGTGGGGAGGCAGTGTAGGTAGGTTAAGTTAAATGTTAAGTTAAGAGATCTGTTGAGTGTTCTGTGACGAAATAATGCATCCGTATAATGTATATTGTATATGTATATTAAAAATGTTATAAGGACCGCGAATAATCAAAAACCGATTATTATATTACTATTTTTTAATATAGTGCGCTTAGTATAAAAATGTTATAAAACCGGTTCCCGCCGATGGAGACGCACGATGAATATTACGACAATATAATATACCAATAGCTTAGTCGTCGGAGAATATGAATCGACGTGTTAGGTATATACTGTATACGTTACATATAATAGGCGCATATCGTATTAACGCAGGTATGCCCGGCAACAGTTGTCCGGAAAGTCCGGGCGAAATGAAAGTCATTTCGTAACACGTCTCGGCAAACCGGAAGTTTTTACCGCTGCCGCCACCAACTCCTACCCTGGAGGCGGCGGCTAAACCCGACCGGCACCGTCGTCGTCAGGAAGTCCCGATTGTCTCACACCGTCAATCCGTTCTCGACCGTCGAAGAATCCAACAAGTGTTCTCACGACATATCCAGCTAAACTACTATAAGATATTGCCAAAATTACCGATTTTGCCGAAACGCGGTTGTATTCAAATTTTTAATCGAAATTTTTTCAACTCCGTCGTTCGGATTCGGTCTTCCGCAATCAACGTGTGACACCGTCGCCAGGACACGTATTTTTGTGCAGCATTTTCTACATACTGTGAGTACCTTACATCGTAATACTTACCATCCGATTGTAGTTATAAATATACGACCATAAGCATTTATGCTCCAATATTTATCTGATAATTTAAACTTTAAAATATACTTATGACAAAATACAAATAAATTATTGATTTTTATACTATTATTATTATTATTTCGATATTTTCGACCAAATATTCTGTTCATTTGGAACACGAAATTAAAAAAGATTTTATAGAAATTTAAATAGTAATAATAATAATAAAAAAATAATGTTATATTAATAATATAACATTTTGAAAACAAATTGCAATGAGTTCAAATCACGTAAGCAATTTGTTTTTATAACATACCTACCTATATTCATTGATTGAATTACTGGTTTGTGATAAACGACTTATTAATACCTATCGAATTATCACATTGCGAGCCAATAAAAATCTTCTGTTTCAGTAAGCACCTTTCCGCAGCGACGGCCAATATGAGATTCGCGATAATTGGATTCTTAGTGCTGGTGATGGGCGCCGCCGTCAAAGCTCACATACACTTCATCAGGCTGGCTCTACTGGCGGCCATGGGTCTGGCTGGCATGTGGATGATGCACAAACTCGCACAAGACTGGCACAAGATTTCATCATCTGGCAAGCCCGCCAAGCCAGCAGCCATGGCCGGAAAACTTTTGGGACTCTGGAAGAGATCCTTACCCGACGAGGTGAGTGCAAAAAAAAGGTTTCTACCATAGAGTCGTAAGCCTACACTTATACACTGACATTAGTTAAATACTTACCTGTTAAATATGGTATACCGAATTAAAATGGGCATCTATACATTTTTAAGAAATAATTTATTCAATTTATCTGCAATAATAGTAACATTTGAATGAATTTTGGAGACCATCTCTCACCGATCATTTTTTTTCAATTTCTAAAGGGATAAATAAATATATGAATTAATTATTGCCAAGCAAAATATTTTCCGCCTCGACCATGTCGGGAGGTTATATAGTGGGAAATGTAATTAAATTTCTCGATTAATCGAAAATTGAAAATAAATACAATTTGTGCAAGTGCAATAAATTATTATCCTTCGAGTTTATAAAAGGAATATCGTATATGGTATTTCGCATTTCAGTTAAGGCCAATACAGTTGAGTATAATTTAGAGTTGGAAATAGCAACCCTAAACTGTTAAATGTTGTTTATGTGGTAGCAAATCGTTCAGACTTTATTTCTTCTTTTATCATTACCTAATCTAAACGTTAGTAGTGACTAGTGAAATCTATACAACAATCCGATTTTAGCGATTTAAATTTATCTTTCTGGTTTTAAATGTAGGTATAATAGTGGATTTTGAGTTGTTCTTTTAATTTTAAGTTTATTTAATGTTTATACATATTCATGTTTGAACTACAGTAAACATTTAGAGATGATCGATGGGGTTCTTCTTTTATGTATTGAAAAAAAAAATTGTTAGGTTAAAAATGGTAAAATGTTATACCTAAAATGTAATATCTGTAATTTCACGAACATTAAATGTGAAATATGAATCATTATTGGGTTTGGGTCCAGATCGGCGTGACACTGTGACTTGTACTGCACGTCCTTACTCGATATTTATAATATTAACGAAACTTTGAATTTTAAATTTCCAAGTAGAAAATGCACAACAGGTACACTACATTAGCCACTGCAAATGGTATAACATATTTATTACGTATTTCATTGACGTCACAACGAAGTCGGCGCGCTATTATTAAAATGAAATCGTATTTGTCCGGAGAACCAATTATTCGATTGTTATCAAACATATGAGATCCCCGCGGGTCGTTTAAAAAAAAGAAAATAATAATAATAGTAATAATAATAATGGTGAATAAATAAAATCGTAAACAACGACCACTCATTTCCCTCCCAAGCTAAAAAAAACGGCCGTGTCGTCACGGCTGTGGGGGATATAATAGTTGCAATAGTAGTATTTTAATCCGTCCATTGTTTCGACAACATTACCAGTGACAAAATCTGTCGGTTTTTCAAAAGATGTACGTTCTATATTCACAAAGCGTCATATTATTTGAATCCACCATACAGTACTGCTTGCAGTAATGTTGTTCTCGTCGTCGAATGAAGTGGTGCCGACCTATACCCTGCAGTTTATTTTTTATGTTATTTTTTATCTCGTTACCATTGACGATGAGCAATAATTATAAAATAATTTAAGAAACGTATGACGACGATACGATTAATAACGTTTGTATAATAATGTAACGATATGAAAGGAGCGACCCCCGGAGACGGCTATTGAAAAATTACATGAAACAATTGCAGTCGAACACACACACGCACACACACTGACACGGATAATATAAAAACACAAAGTATGAGCCTTAAACGCAGCCTAAATAGTATGACGTAAAACGAGAATTGAAACGTAGCAACTGCAGCAAAGTTTAGTGTGTAGGACAAGCGCGAGCGGAGGGGGGCTTTTTTAATGAGACCCTTATGATCTCGTGCGTCGCTTGTACATGATAAATATAAAATATTTAACCTACCACCTAACCTAACCTAACCAACCTGCAGAAGAGACCACAAAGGATAAACGCGTGAAAATAATTTTAGTTTTCCGTGTGTGCTCTATGTATACTTACGGAGAGCCAAAAAATAGTTTTCGACAAAGAAAATTAACGGTTGACCTGGATCGTGGAAACTCAAGACCGTTTTATTGGTGAGTTATATTTGTTCGTAGCGCACATACTGTTGTAGAGGAGACCGGTCTGACAGTTTAAATCGAAAACATTCGTTTTGAAAAAGCGTTTAAAGGCCCGCAGTGTGAGCAATTTTTCAGGCGTGGTGAACAGAGTTTTTTCGTTTGTAATAACTAATCAGTGAACACCAAACAATTTATCATTTTTGGTTGTATAAATCTATGAACAATATTTGTTCAATATTATGTTCTGTACCTTTAGACTCAAACACCAATACATTAAGTATTATACAAAAATAATATAAACTTTATATACTCATATAATAGTTATATTATTTATTTATTGAATAATAATATAAACTTCATATACTCATATAATAGTTATATTTTATATTTACTGAATTCAAATCATTTGGTTGAGGGACAATGGTCGGCTCTAGACGGTCTAGTAGAAGGTCTAAAAGTAGAGCATATCAAATAACGTTACATACCTAGTGACATGGTGAACACAATGCTTTCGATTTTTAAACGTTTTTTGAAAGAAATTCTGTATACTTACGGATTGGTTGAATGAACATTACCTACTTACATCGTATAGCTATTCTAAATAGGTAATAGGTACCTAAAAATAAATGTTCTATCCCATCTATATTTTTGGATCGATATTCGTTGTTCTGCTTCATCTTCACGATAATAATGCAGACGATCAGCATAATGATCGTATACTATTATTGACAATTGTTATGTACAATAGTAAACATGTAGCTCTAAGGTAGCAGTTTATTCTTGGTTTAGGCGTTTTATTGACTTTTTACAAATCGATGACCAGAAATGGTCTATATAGGTAGGTACATACCACATCTACCAAATCTAAAAATAAGGAGCAACATCTTTTTATTGTTGTTTTATAGTTTGTTTTTTATTTTTATAAAGAAACACATGTTTGTTCATGTAAACTTTACCAGTATTTCTAATTTTTTTAATGTATGTTTGATTAAAAAAATATTTTATAAGTACTTTTATATTCTTTGTAATAGTCTAAAAAGTTTCCAATCAATCCAATCTCACCTATAAATGCATAAGATTACACAAGTAAAATATATTCATATCACATATAGGTACTACATGAAACAAATGATAACGTTATAATTAACGCAACTAACCATAGCCTCCGAAACTAACCATAGCCTCCGATATGTATTCTTGGAAGATAATAATTAGCACATGTGGAGAGGTTTCATGAATTTTTAATAAATATATTATTATACATAGATATAAGTAGGTATGTGTGGTATATACACAAGTACAGGTACATAATATACCTACCGATCGTTCTCATTCAATAACGAAAATTTGCTTTCGTTTCCCGCTACTTGCAGTTCAAAATTCACTGAATGTATACATATAGCTTCCTAAAGTATACACAAGTACGAATGGTACGCATAGCTTTAACGTTATGTATTTGGCAATATGTTTGAGCATAGATTCTCAAGTCTCGAATTTCGTGGAATATTATATTGTATATTATAAACACGAGCACGCGACATGGGTCGCATGACACTCGTACGGGCAGAATTGTTCAACATTTAAAAAAGTTAAATATCATCATATGCTTACATTTTATAATATTTTATCTTATTTGACGTTTGAGTAAATTTGTGTGGAACAAGAATAATTGAAAAAAAAAATGTTCTCAAACTCATATAATTGGTCGGTAAATACAATTTTTAAACGTCATGGTCTACAACAACTGTTCAATCTGGAAAAATTAAAAATGTTCGAATTCAATTTAAAATAGGCCCATTTTATATTATAAATAAAACTAATTATTATTGATTATTAACTGATTTAATGAAAATTAATAATAATGTAAAAAAATGAGCTCGAGTTTAATTAGGTTAAAATTGTGAAATTGTCTTTAAGTTACATAATTACATAGCTATATTAATAGATATAATAATATGTATATACTATATATAATATACCAAATATGTGCGTGGAAACTCTATTTGCTATTATTTGCATTCGGATACTGTTATTTTTCGTCTAATAAGTAACAAGTCAAGTACCCAGTTATAATATAATTTTATGAGTAAACGTGCGTGTGGTCGAAAACCAATATGTAGATAATTAAATATTATTATAATACTCGTAGCATTATATAATACATATATCATACATTAATGCAATAAACAGTTAAACGTGTAAATAAGTTTTTTTCGGAGTGAAATTAATTATAATTTGATGCTTTTTTTTATGAATTATTATTTTTATGCACATACGTGGTATAGTTGTAATGGTCTGGATTAAAAATTTGAACAGTTTATTGATAGTTGTACCAATGTAACAGTGTGTTTTCAAAGCGAAAAACCGCAGTGGCTCTATATTTTCGCTACACTATAATTATTGTTTTGAGAAAAAAATCGAATTCAAAATTGAAACAAGACTAATAATTGATGGAATAATAATACGTGCTATTAAGTAGGTATTACAATTTGTATAATATATGTGAACACTTCGATACCGATAATTAGCGTTAATTCGAAATTGTAGAAGTATTTTAATGAAATACTAATAGGTAGGTTGGTAGTCAATAAGCATTAAAATTGTTTGTTTTTTTCAAACATCAAAACTATATTACCTAATAATTAGGTAGGTATAAATATTAATTTTTTTTTCAGTTTTTATTTGTATTTGTATTTCATATATAATTTATCATATTATACTAATAGGTTGTGATTTAATTTTATAAAATGTAATATCAAAAATAATTTTTGGAATATTTACTATTCAGGAAATTACAATTTGAATCGAGCTAAATGGACAAATATATGTACTTTTATGAGCTAACTACAAGAGACAGGGACTTCTTGAACTAAAATCCGTAAAACATATAATTAAAATTGTTAAAATAAAGCTTATATGCAAAAAAACATTTTGTTTTTGGAAAAAATTAATAAACATATAAGATAAACAATTTAAGCATTACAATACATTAAGTATTGGATAGTTA